GCGCCACCTCCCCTCCCGCGGTCATCTGTTCCGAGAGGGCTCTGACTTGCCTGACGGCGTCGATAGTCGATAGGCCCTCTCGGAAGCCATACTGACCGCGGGATAGATTGGGACCATTCCGGGACACGTGCCGGACAATTGCGGGAGGGACTCGCTCCAGCAATTTCCCCGCATCGTCTAGCAGGCATAACGGCCTATAAGCGGAGGGACTCTCTTGCGCAGGACCCATCGACATTCCAACTCGTGTCGGCGGCGTCTTCGTGACACCTCCGCGGGGGTGGACACCAGCTCCATACGGATCAGGCGATGGTCCGTAAGTTCTCCCAGGGAGCTGGCGTCCACGTGCCATCCTTGTATCTTAATGGCCGCAGCGGGGATCGCCCACGTTAGATCGACGATGGACTCCCCCCGGGCCCCCACGAAGGTACTGGCACGGTCCCTATTCAATAAGACTAGGTCGTGCCGCGCCCACAGTAGGGCGCTGTCACCCCGGGAGTCGGTGGATGGGGAACTCCACTCCAACGCGTGGGCGTTGAAGTCCCCACCCACCAGTACTGGCCTTGGGGGGCGTCGTGATGTGCTCCCCCAGAGAATCCAGGGCGTCCTCGTATTCCCTCCTCGTTAGTCGAGGAGGGAAGTAGCACCCCGCTACATCGATGGGTCCCCACTCTACCAGAGCGAACCCCTCCCCCGCAGATATTGGAATCATCGGGGTGTGGAAGCGCGGGGTGTCGCGCACGTGTCGGCTGACCACCGCCACCCGTTCCAGAGAGTCCCCCGCCCAGTTGGGCCGATGCCCCCGCACCTGTAGCACGACCCGGATCGATCAACTGTGCTGGTGCATCGCTGTTGCACATGACCGGCCTCCAGGCATCTATAACACTGGAAGCCCCGGGCCGGCAGTAGTGCCACTCTGCAGCTCGACCACCCCACTACGACTCTAGAGGCGGCCACGAGCTGTTTGGCCGCCTCTACGGGGCACCGCACCCAACAGGTGCCCATTAGGGGCCCTATTGACGACTCCCACCTTGAACTCCGGCGGGAGTCGCCCACAGGCCCGGGCCAACTCCTCGGCAACCTCAGTGGGGGTTGGCGAGTCGTCCAACCCGGAGACCCGCACCTCGGCCGCCTTCGACGGACGGGACACCTTTACGTCGTCCCTGTCCGCAAAGACGGCCGACAGTTTCTCCGCCAACTTGTCGGCTTTGGCGCGACTCTCCGGCAAATTTTCCGTCCTTATTGGATCTGTGCATGAGATTGCTAACCTCGATAACCTTGCATTGAGAGATCAAGTGTCTTTTGACAAAATCTTCCTCGATGTCAACAAAAATATTACGGATAACGCTTGTGTGTAGAATGCAGTAAGTTGGTATGTAAGCTTTGAGGTTATGGCTTTGTAATGTAGAGCATTTGACGAGATTATTAGCAGCTGAAGCCGTTTTGAGTTCTACAAGAATCTTACTCCTGCCAATCTTATGAATTTCAATAATGTCATTGTATGCAATCTGAGAGATAATGCGTATCCGTTGTAGCCGAGTGTACGTGAACGGCAAGTCAGAGTGATAAGTCAGAGGAGGTATAGAAATTCTCGAAAGACACATTTTTATTCTTACCTGCCTTATCCTGTTCTTTGTTTACATGGTTGGTCGCGTCAAGTTGAGAGGCCATTTGTTTGTTGTCACTTTTGCCCTGCTTACTGACGACAGACTCTTTTTCTAAGGTCTCAGAGCATAGTCTTTTGCGAAGAGATGGATTGTTGTTGTTAGTCTCACAGGAGTTAGGAAGAAGTATATCAGCAGATGATACAGAGTCCTCTTCTAAGAAAGAGAGATCTATAGCATTGTTGTGGACCTCATTAGGTGACTCCTTGGTAATAGTCTGTAGTACAGCGTGGGTGCCTGGTAGGCGCTCACCTTGTAAAGAAGTTTCCAATTTTTTAAGCTGATGAATTTTTTTCCCCATTAGATCATAAAGAGAGCTTTTCCTGCCAAATTTAGGATTGGAACAAAATTTACTTTTGCCCGTAGAAGAAAGGGAAGAAGCAGGGGGAGGAAGGGGAGGTTAACCGGGCTCGACCTCCATCACCGATCCCAAGCTCGAGGCCAAAACTTCGTTTATCTTAACGTAGACCAGGAAGCGCGGTCTATGCTATAAAAATGGATAGATAATAAAAAAACAAGGTGATCCGCGCACGAAATCACAGAAATAAAACACCAAAAACAGCACGCGATGCAATCGAAACGCCCAGGCCACAAAAAAATACGTCCATCAGAGATCGCATCGTCACCGGAACAGGAATCTCGGAAAAGATTCTTCAACAATGGCGCGGCGTCCGCTTAGCGATGTCTTCGTGGCGTCCTCTTCGCAAGTACGCTCCAATCAGGAGCTCGCTTTTCGGAGCTAATAGCAAGAACCAATAACGTGTGAGAAGAATTGCGCGCGTAGGTAAGGCGCTAAATGCGACTGGAAATAAGTAAAAGGTTAAGAATATATAGGTCATTTTTTACATTAAGGTCAGGTCCATGTGAGATGGCGGTAGTAGCGAAGTCCCGGCTTACGGCTCGTAGCTGTTGGTGGCCCCCGCCACAACGCCAAGAGAGGAAGAGGCAGAAGGAGACATCCTCCCCTCTTTCCTTTTAAGGAGAAGGATGAGGAGGAAGAAGACATCTGTGGGGAATTCTTAATGCCTCACTAGCGCAGCGAGCGTAGTAAGCTTAAGGATTGTGTTGGTAACGAGTTGCTTAGCAGCGTAAAAAAAAATAATAAAAAAAGAAATATTATATTAAGAGATCAATAGAGGTGTTCGTCCTGTACGTTCGTATAAAATTGTATTCGTGAAATAAATATTATATTTACAGTTACAAATTAAGTCTCGATTGTAAATTTCTTTATCACATCACACGACAAGCGTGGGCTTGTCAAAAGAACTCTGACTTATCCATTGAGTCAGATTTCCCACATTGGTGACCCCGACGTGATGTGATATGAAAGGCCGTTGTGATACGAAAGGCCATCGTGATACAAAAGGCCGACAAGATCTAAAGGCCGATGTGATCGAGAGGAAGAAGCGATTAACTGGTAACTGTCGTTCGAGCAACATCGAGACGAACTCATTGCCGACGTCGTAGCCGACAAGGAAGCTCGTCGCCGACGTAGTAAGCAGCAGCAAGCTCATCGTCGATATTGTGACCTGTCGCAAGGCCCCATCGTTAAGGCCGGGGCCAGTGGAAAATTCTCGCCGTTGGAAACACCGCAGAGACATATCCAACGACAGGCGCTCAGCGTTCCGCCGACGTGGGCACGAATCAGCCCAGGAGCCGGCGTTCAGGACGTCATCGCCGTCGCCGCCATTGTGATCTGTCAAGGACGACCTCGCCGCCATTGTGACCTGTGAAGGACAACTTCGCCGCATAGCAGTCGGGCAAGTTGTGTATGCAGCACGTTAGTTTTTAAGCGTGCGTAATCCGGTAAACAGGAAAGTAGATCTAGTCATGGCTCCTCCCACCACCGAGGAATTGCAGGAGCAAGTGATGCAGCTGCAAGCGATGCTTCGGCAGATGCAGGGCAATGTGGTCGGCAATGTCGCGCGCGTGGATTCATATAGGGTTCCGAAAATTCCGCCGTTCTTAATTAAAGATCCGGTGATATGGTTTATTCAAGTCGAGGCCACGTTCGAGGCCGCTCGAATCACAGAGCAAAAGACTAAGGCGCATCACGTGATTATATCTCTGGACGCAGAAGCTATCGCGTGCTGCAGAGATCTCATCGCGGAACCCGATATTAATGAACCAT